TTTGAACCCAACGTACCAGAGGCCGGCCCCCAAATGCCTCAGGACTGTGCGTGAATCAATCAGCTCGAACTGCCACAATATGCAAAGAGGAATTCCCCGGGATGACGACCTGACCCACTCCAGGAGCGCCGGCTGTGACGAGTGCCGGCCAGCGTCAAGTCCATGCCGCCGGATCTCTGCTCCCGACCCCTGCGCGCCACAGGGCGCCCCTCACCAGAAGCTGGAGAGTACTCACCATAAAAGAGAGGGCAAGCGCCTGCCCGGGAAGAATCCCCAGCGTTGGCAGGTCCTGGACTCCCCGGAGAGGCTTCTGCTGCCGCCGCCGCCCACTCAGGGGCGCCCGAGCGACCCCGCAGATGCCGGCTTCCTCCCCAGGGCCAGGGGCGCGTCCTCACGGCTGATGCCCGGCAGCAGCGCCCCCTCTGCCAGGCAGGATGGCCTAGAGTTAAGAGCGTTCTTGGTGAAGTTGGCGCTCAGGCGAGACGAGAGGACGTGGGGGGTCGGGCCGGGAGTGGGGAAGCGCCTTACTGCGCGGATCCTGGGGGCGCGCAGAGGCCCGCGCGCTTAGCTGCTCGGAAGCCTGGCTCCTGACCCAGAGGGCGGCGAGTCTCGCGCTCAGGGCGCACCGGCCGCGCCTCGGCCGCTGGCCCCCAGTGAGCCCGGCATCTTTCTCAGCGCCCTGAGCGCACGCAGTGGTAGCTGCACGGGCCGGAGCTGCGGTGCGTTCATCGTCCTCCCCAGAGGCTGGGCGCCTTTGTGCGCGGGGCGCGCCGGCCGCCGCGGCCAGCTCTGGATGCTGCAGCCGCCTCCGCCTCCCCCTCCTCCTCCGCCGCCGCCCGCTCCCCGCCTTCCCGGCCGGCCCGGAGGCTGCAGCTGAAAGCCGATCTGGCTGAGCTCATCCCTGAAGGCCACTAATCCAATAGCCGCGGAAGGCGCGGTCGCCGGGAACGCCCCTTCCCCCACCATCCCGCGCCCCGGCCGTCCCAGCTCGGGCCGCTGCCGGCGCCGCCACCTTCTCGAGGCCACCAGCTGGTGGGAGAGGGAAGTGGAGCCCGAGCCCGCGCCCGCAAGCTGAGGCGGCGACGCGGTAGCCATTCACTCACCCGCGCGCTCTCCCGCGCACTCCCTAGCTCTCGCACTCATTCATGCGCGCGGGTCCTCTCCCATTCATTCAAGCGCGCCTGGAGCGCCGGGGTGGGTGCCCCTGAGCGGGAGGAGACACCCACAGTCGCTAGGCAGCTTCGGTGCCTTTACTCAACGCACGTGGGAAATAGCACCCGAGAGAAAGAGGATGGTTTATCACCCCCCTTCCTCGCACACGAGTCCGTACTTTATTATCGATATCCGGCTCCAACTCATCTTTCAAAGTCCAATGTCATACCACACCTGCTCCAGGGAGCTTTCCTGCCCACCCGAGGAGCAGAGCCTTATCGAGCTTCATTGCGAGCCTGAGCGGGGAGAGAAGGAAGCAGGCGTGGCCAGAGCAGCGTCAGGAAGGGTGATTCTGTTATTTGTGCTTTCTTGGGGGAAATTGAAAGTACCTGGACCTGAAAATGCCTGCGTCTGTGCTCCCAGAGTTGTCTTTAGGTCCTTTCCACAGTCATATACCGACCCAAGCCCTCTCTGTGCCAGGCACCAGGCAGAGTCTACATAAAAAGTGCTCAATTTTTTTAGGGCCCCAGAAGATATAAGGGAAATATTTTTAGAGGCTCTGAGGCTAATTTCCCAGACTGGGAAGGGCAATCTGGAGATGTTTCTAAGTGGATGTGGCCCCATGAATTAGCCCCCTGAGGCAAGGGGACTGTATGGTTACCTGAGTAGGAACCTACACAGCCTATGGTATCCCTGGAGCTGCACAGAGGGGTAAGATAGAGCTGGAGGGATGAACAGTGGCCTTGGGAACCAACTAAAGAGCTTGGCCTTTCCTCAAGAGCATTGGGGAAGCTTCTAACCAAGGTAGTGACTTTGTCAAATTTGGATTCCAGAAAGATCTCTCAGTAGCAGAGTGGATGGATGTACGGTGAAAAACCAGCTTGGGAGCTACTGTAATAGTCCAGGCAGAAGATGAGCTTTAAGAAGGAGGCTAGCCATGGTGGGGTGGCGAAAGTACTTATTCTAATGTTTGGGCATTGTCTGCCTCCTGAAACTGTGAGCTCCCTGTCTCTGGTGTCCTGCACCAGCACAGGATAGTGGCCAAATACAGCGAATGTGATTTGAACTGCCTTAAGTGGCAGTGCTAACCCACATTCACACTTGCTGTCTTTCCTGTCTTTCCCTCCTACCTCCATCAACAAGCTCCTGAAGCACTTGTTCTGGGAACTATTATGGGGGTTGTTGCATGAGGGGGTTATGGGCATGATCCGGAAGCAAGAAAAGAAAATTTGAGGAAAGAAGGTCATAAGCAAAGGGAGGTTTAAAGTAGATGTTCATGCTGATGGTTCCTTACCCGACCCCAACCCAATCTGGCTGACAGAGTGAGGGGTAGAGTGGGGGATGCCCATTGTTTCCCCTCCTTGCCAGGAAATATCACATCAATGTCAAGGTCAAGGGGAGTAGGGATCAGTGGTCACAATTTGAGAATGCCCCCCTCCCTTTGGGGCCCTACATAGGTTCAGCACACTGGCCTTTCCAAATAAGACTATGCCTCAGGCACAAAGGAGTGGGCACAGCAGGCCCCTTAAGTGTCTCTGTAGGCTCCCAAATCCTCCAGCACCTGGATAACAGAGGAAACAACTTTCCACTTTGGGAGAAGCCAGGATAGCTTGGCTATTAAAATTGTTTAGATTGAGATGGGCCACCTCTAGATGGCCCCCAAGTTTCCCAGCCAACTTGTATTCACACCCCTTTCCGTTAAGTGTGGGGTGGACTTACTGACTTGCTTCTCACAAACAGAATACAGTAGAAGTGGTGAGATGTTCCTTCCAAGATTAGGTTACAAAAAGACTGTGGCTTCGTTCTGAGTTCCTGTTTGTTCTCTCTCTCATTCTCTCTCTCTCCTCCCTAGGGGAAGCCAGCTGCCATGTTCTGAGATAGCCTTGTACAGAAAGACCCATGTGGTGAGAGGCCTGTCAACAACCATGTGAGTGAACTTGGAAGCAGATCCTCTCCCATCCCAGCTGAGCCTTCTTATGAGACTGCAGTCCCGCAGTCCTTGACTGCAACTTCATGAGAGAACTTTATTCAGAGGAACCTGACTAAGCAGATTTCTGACCTGTGGAAATTCTAAGATAACGAATGTTTGATGTTTGAAGCTGCTTAATGTTGCAGTAATTTACTATGCACAGCATATAACTAATACAAGATATTCTTAACTGTCCAAGAGTGATTCTAAAAATAAACTCTAAAAGAACTAACCGGTATCACTCTGAAGAATTCACAATATTGCACAGGCATAGGTGGCACTGGAATTAAATCTCAGTTCAGTCTCTTTGGGCCTTAGCTTTCTCATTTGTAAAACGGGAACAGAAGTATTCCCTTGGAGTACAGTTGATGTGCTGAAGCTTGTCATATAGTAGGTGCACAATAAACTGTTTCCTTCTACTTCTCAGCAGTAGACCAAGTTCTGCAGCATTCTTGGAATTCTTGGGCTGGGGTTAGTAGGGTTCAGTAGGGGGTTGTTACAGTCAGGGGTCCAGACCTCCTGGACTCCAAAGCTCCCTCCTCCTGCCTCTGTCCCCATAGAGCTTGGTTCACAATCTACTTACTACTGTTTAGCTACCAAAATCTTGGATTCCTCTGTCTTGCAAAAGTATTAACCATGGTCTTACAGAAGTTGAGAAAAACCCCTCAGTTCTAAGACATTTTAGAACTTAAAACTTGCTCCAAGGAGGTGCACACCAGGACAAGAGACCAGTGGTATGTGAGGTCATTTGCCTGCCCAGCATGAGTGGCCATGTTTGAGCCCAGCCTATAGTGTGGTTTTGCCCATTGGGTGCTCAGCTCTTGGACCCTGTTCCTCTCTACAGTTCAGGTACCATTGTCTCTCTCTTTTTTTTTTTTTTTTTTTTTGAGACAGAGCCTCAAGCTGTCCCCCTGGGTAGAGTGCCGTGGCATTACAGCTCACAGCAACCGCCAATTCCTGGGCTCAAGCGAGTCTCCTGCCTCCGCCTCCCAAGTAGCTGGAACCCGCCACAACGCCCAGCTATTTTTTGGTTGCAGCCGTCATTGTTGTTTGGTGGGTCTGGGCTGGATTCAAACCCACCACCTTAGGTGTACGTGGCTGGCGCCTTAGCCGGTTGAGCTATAGGCGCCAAGCCGGTACCATTGTCTCTTTATCCAATAGTTGCAATAACCTCCTCTGTACTACTCCTCTTGCCAAGGCTGTCTTCATAAAGGAAACTGAGAGGGAAGAAATCCTCATGACCCTAATAAGAGTATGGCCATTTGGGGAGACAGCTAGTGATAGAAAGCAGTCCAGAAACCAAACTGCGTGACCACAACAACCCCCTTCCCCTATCCCCTGTAAATCCTCTTGCCCCTGACAAAAGGATAGCCATCTTGGCAGGACAGCTAGTGACAGAAAGCAGGTCAGAGACCAAATGACATGGTTATAGTAACTCTCTCCCCACACCTGTGGAATGCTTCAAGGACAATGTTTTTGGGGCACATCAGAACAAGCAAGCAGTCTCCTACCCTGGTCCTGTCTGACACTAGAGATAAGATCCTTGTGCAAGATTAACACCTTTGTGGAAGGGATTAATTCTAAGATCAGTCCCTGACACAGCGTCATTCACTCTGCAGAAACAAAGATGACTTCCCTCATTTCTCATAGCCCCCACCTGAATTCCAACTACACCAAACCATGAGCTGCAGACTCCACTCTGCTCTTTCTCTTCTAATACAGCCTTTCCTTGATCCCTTGACTGGCCTTCTCCCCTTTTTGCAAACCCTAACCTGGACTCTGCCCCTAAACCTCTTAGAAAGATCACATCACCATTCCCTTCAGAGGTACCTCATGGCCCTCAGGATAGTTTGCATGCTTCTTAATGGAATCTGGCTCCTTCTCACTCCATTAGTTTTACCTCCCTGCATCTATGCTTCAGGCCTGGCCACACTGGGCTCTCTAAGCTTGTCCAGTATGCCAATTCTTTTTTTCTTGACATAGACTTTTGCACTTAATTCCCTTTCTCCCTGGTACAGACTTTCCTCAGGTAAGTCCAATCATCCTTCACCTCCCTTTTTGCCTGTATGCATTTTGTATCCCCCAGGACGCCTTTGTGGCACCTCAGGTTCAGCAGGATGACTTCCTGTGTGCATCCTCAGGCCTGAACTTCCCTCTGTCACAGCCCCAAATCTGTGTTGCTGTGCTTTCACTTCTTGTCACTCACTTCAAGATATAGGTACTTCAAGGGCAAAGCTATCTTTTTTATCCTTATAGCCTTTGTGCCCCCATCTACATTTTCTTCTTGCTAATTAATCAAAGCAGAAAGCTTTGTAGTCTTACTAAGTATCCCAGTCCTTCTCTGAGCACTCCGGCAACTTGTTGCTTTACATCTGTCATAGCACTTTGTATACCTTCTGGGAATTGTCAGACTTCTGCATCAGACAGTGACTCTCTGAGGCAGGACCGTGTCTGATTCACCCTTGTGCTCCCAGCACCCAGCCTAGGGCATGGTACACAGTAGACATCCAGTAAATGGATGAACGATTAAAGGCAAAGCAGAAGGAAGGCGAGACAAAGGTTGGAAGGAAGGAAGCCTGGCTCCAGTGACTCCTCTCTCTCTCCCTCTCTCTCTTCCATTTAAGGTATTGAATGATCAGAATTGAATTAATCATAGTCCTTGGTCATGACATATTGTCAACATAAGCCAGAGCATGGTCCT